GAAGCTCCTTGCTGACGTAGGTACCGATCCATGCCCGGTCTTCATCCCCGTGGGGGCAGGGAGCATCCAACTGCTCTTCAGCACAAGTACGGCACAGAGGAAATAACAACTTACCCTGGACACGGTAAGGAAGAACAGGATGATAGAGGTCTGTGGGTGGTAAGACACGACACTGGATCAGACCGTGGAGCTCAAACAAGCCAGACACGGGAGGATGATCTTTGATCTCGGGATGTCCCGCGGGAAAAGTGCCATACTTGCAGATGTAAGGGTACAGCGAGCAAACATCCACATATTTGATTTCTTCTTCTTCTTTGGCTTCATAGTACAGTTTGGTGGTGTTGGTACGTCCTCCAAAGAAAGCATCTCTGGGATCCAACGGGTCAGGCATGTAGGCATGGGGTCCTTACAGGGTGGTCAGGAAGGCTCTCAGGTCACCATTTCTGTTGTTTCAGAAAATCACATTCCCAGAGGGTCACCACTTGGTCAATGTCGGGATGTTGGCGTAACACACCCAGTCGGTACATGGTATGATGGTATCGTTCCCAAGGGGTTGTACCCAAGCTAGCATGGTGTTCACATCGGCCCGTCTTGTAACAGCGAGTACATCCATGCAAGAAACAGCCCAAGTATTCATACACGGTGCGTGTCTTGACGTCGTAGCCATCCACCATGTAGTGACTACCGTCAGCACAGTCAAAGCCTACTTCTCCACCATTCCGAGCATGTTGGATGTGGACCCCAGGGTGTTGATGCATGACCCAATTGAGCCAGTGGAGACACTGCAGAGAGTAGCGATGCTGGGGGCGATAACCTTGAGTAGGTATGATGGCAATGGTGCGGGGTTCCAAAAACTGTTTTCGGAAGGTGAGCATGCAAGCCATGGGTAGAGTCACCGCTTCGTAGAAAGGGTCCACGTTGTTCTGTTGGATGAATATGTTGCAGAATGCAGCACAGCCTCGACGCAAAATGTCCACATCACTCTGACAGTAGTTCAACAATTCTTCATCCAGATCAAAGACAGTCCCTTCAACCACCCGTGCATCGTACCAGGCCAAGAAAGCTTTACGTTCGGCAGGAAACATGCTGTCAGGATCGTAGGTAGACACGGGAGGATAAGGACCCACATAGTCTTGGTGAGCTTCGGTGTTGAAGAAGTGAGGGAAGTAGCCTTTCTTGAGTTCCGTCAACGCAAACGTTTTTGGAAACTGCTTCAGAGCCATCGTGAGGAAATTGAGTGAATCCTTGAAAACAAGGCATCCCACGGTCATCTGCAAGATGTGATTCCTTCGAAGTGTGACCTGGGGTGCTTTCACGAGATGTTGATGGAAGTACTGTTGGAGCAAGTGTCCATCATACCCACGGTAGTTGTGAGCAATGACCAAAACGTCGTCATCATCAATGGTAGGGGAAATGTCATCTTCATCGTCTTGCTCTTCCTCATCTTGTTGTTCTACATCATCATCGGGTTCTGGTGATGACAGTTTGGGTTGTTTCGAGGCACGGCCCGACGACTGCTGGTGGGATGCCTTACGTTTCTTCTTCTTCTGTTTCTTTTCTGCCAGGGCCATCAGCCAGTCGCCCATGTCCTTCAAGGTCGTAGATCCACGAAACACTTTGATGCAGCTAGGGCCTTCTCCTTCTTTACGCCAGGGGCACTTTTCACACAGTTGATCCGAAGCCTCGGAAATACATTTTCCACATCCCAGATGCACCACGCACAAGTTGGGAACATGAGTCCCTTGATCTTGAGTACATTCAAAGTCGTAGAAGATGAACTGACGCTGTTGTCGTTCTTTGTCTTCATCCTTGTTTTCACCATCTTCATCTTGTGTGGGTGGTTTGATGACAGACATGTAGCACTGGTGGTTGGGTTTCAAGGGTTCTTTGCAGATCTTACAGTCGCGATTCGTGCCACACTGATGGTTGGTCATGCCCTGAATTTTTCTCACGTTGACTTTGGCCATGCATCGATGACACGTGTGGATGGTGGAGCAGGTGCTGGGATGCTTGGCGGAGGCTGTCCGATGGCGTTGAAAGCAGGCAGGGTTTCGGAACCACCCGCCACATAGGAGACAGGAGAGCCCTTCATTGTCCACGTCGCCACAGTATCCAGGACATTGGCACCAGTGGCATTGAAATTCTCGGGTGCAGCGATGATTTTCAGGGGTGCTGTATCCTTGGTCACAAGTTTCACAATAGTAACTGTAACCTGTAAAAGCTGGCATGGATGTTATGACATCGTAATGCTGATGGTGATGATACAGGTGAAGGATCTTGGTGGGTTGAGACACTTCACTCTTGTACAGGAGCCGATTCATGACATCTTGGGAGTAGATTTTGAGCTGATGGTAAGGCGCCAAACGTTGAGCAAACAGTTCCCACGTTGGATTGAACTTCAGGTTGTAGCGCTGGGTACCAGTCCGGAATTTCTTGGTTGTTCTTTGGGTCGTCCGCTCCAACTGGTAAGGCACAGGCTCCTCTTGAAGTTCATCATCTTCGTTCATTCGTGGTGACGACATGGTGAGAACTGGTAAGACCCACGCTGAGCCTGGTTTATATAGGTCACGTCACCCTATGACGTCACAATAGGTCATCCTAAGCATGGCAGTGCGCACCATGAGCTCATTTGTTATTTATAGGAATGATGCCATACCCCATGACGTCACACTAGCCTATCGACCTGATGAGTCAGGATGGGAGTGGTGCGAACCGGATGCAACCGGTTCGAACCTGATGCGTCAAAGTGACGTCATCAACCCCAGCTATATAAATTCGAGGTTTTCCAGCTCTCCCCATCAGTTGCTCACTGAAACTAGAAGCATGCAGACGTCTCCCGCCTCCGCCTCCTTCCGTTGCCGCCTGTGCGAAACAGATGACCACAGTTATCTACACTGTCCCAAGGTGACCTGTACCGAGTGTGGTGCTCAAGGCCATCGCCATTACGTATGTCCCAAGAAGACCAAGGACAACAACAAGCACGGCAACAACACCTGTTACAACTGTGGAAAAAACGAAGGTCATCTCAGTTACGACTGTCCACATCCCTGCCGTCACTGTGGTAAAGAGGACCATAAGAGTATGAACTGCTCTAACAAGGCCCAGAAACGTCCGGCTCCCCCCATCAACCAACCAAGTGAACCGCCAAAGAAAGTGAGTAAACTTGAAAGCAATCGTCTACTGGCTCTACTCCATGACAAGGTCCTCCTCGTTCAAGACCGCATAGACACCATGCACTCTGTACTTCAACGCATCTTGGAGTTTGTCGAACCCATGGACGATTCCAGCAGCACTGCCTCCAGTGCACCACCATCACCACAATAGATACCTCGGTGATCTCTCACCCACCCATACCAACGGCCCTTTTCAGGGCCACCCACCTCGCTCGAAAGAATGCTACATCCAAAGCTTTTTAACCACCCACACACACACTTCTCTAGCCACGCCATCGTCCACGCCACTCTCCTCTCCCTCCCTCCCTCTTTCTCTCTCTCTCCTTCCCCTCTCCTTCCCTTCCCTCTCCGTCCCGTCCGCCGCTCGTCCGTTCCGCCATCTTGAAAGGCGTCTACGCTCGCGAGATCCCGCGAGAATCCACGAGATCCCACGAGATCTCACGCGATCCCACCGGATGGGACGCCATCTTGAAACGCGTCCGCCATCTTGGCCCGGAGATGACGTCATCGTCATGCGCGCGCACCCACCGGAACCGGACGTGACGTCATCGCGATGGACCAGATGTGCCGCCATTTTGAAAAAGACGCCAGGGTACCACTGTACACTACTTACATATTCTCAACAAACAGTATCACAAGCGTTCGGTACGCCTTGGCCCGGGATCTCAAAAACCAGTTCAACCCCAGACATGTATTCTGATTTGTGTTTAAATCCATAGATTGGTTTTATATATACCTAAATATCAATGTGTGATGTTACAAAATGCCACATGTAAAGATAACTGCTCCGTTAAAGTGAAGCCCTTGTCTCTCATTTTTCAACATAGCCTCAATCAAAAGTGGTTTGTCTCTGTTCAGCCCGACTTGGCCCGTGCTGTCAAAAACAACTTAAACCTCACACATGTATCTTGAAATGTGTTTAAATCCATAGATTAGTATTATATCTACCTACATATCACTTCACAGAGTCTCAAAGCGTAGTATTTGAAGCAAACACCTTGCTGAAAGTGAAACTATCTTTTCTACACATTCTCAACAAAGACACAGAACCACAAGCTGTCGGTCCGGCTTGGCCCGGGCGCTCAAACGCACCTTATACCTCACAGATGTATCTTGAAATGTGTTTAAATCCATAGACTTGTATTATATCTACCTAAATATCACTTTGTAATGTTATCAAATACAACATGTAAAGATAACTGGTTCGTTAAAGTTAGCCCTTTATCTCTCCATTCTCAACATAGCCTCAATCAAAAGTGTTTAGTCTCTGTTCAGCCCGACTTGGCCCGGGCTCTCAAACGCACCTTATACCTCACATATGTACCTTGAAATGAATTTATATCCATAGATTAGTGATATATCTACCTACATATCACTTCACAGAGTCTCAAAGCGTAGTATTTGAAGCAAACACCTTGCTGAAAGTGAAGCTATCTTTTCTACATATTCTCAACAAACAGTGTCACAAGCGTTCGGTACGCCTTGGCCCGGGCTCTCAAAAACACCTTAAACCCCAGACATGTATTCTGATTTGTGTTTGAATCCATAGATTGGTATTATATCTACCTAAATATCAATGTGTGATGTTACAAAATGCCAACAAATGCCCTTAAAAACTGCAATTTTCAGATTTTATTTAGCAACGGCAAAGTGGGGTTGTTTAGTTTATGGATTCAAATGTATCAAATGTGTGTTTTTGATATCAAAGCATACGTAATAGACATCATATTCTTACATGATTAAATATCGAAGTAAAAACACAGAAAAAGGATCAAATTGGATCAGTCACTATACCATCCAAACATTTGAAAATCTGAAAAAAGCCTACACTGCCTGGGATACTTTATTACAATCAGACAAGAACTGTAGGGGATATTTTCAAATAACGGCATCTTATGGGCATCCACCCTTATTATCATAGGGGGTCATTCTCACTTACCCAGCACCTTTTCTTTTTTAGCATAACTATTAATCACCTAAGCTGCTGGGTGAACGAGAAGACACCTTCCTAATGTCCCACTGATTAGGTTGAAGAAATTCTGCCACAGTGGACAGCAGCCCAGTCCGTCACGGTCGAGGGAGCAGGGGCTGACCAATTTGCAGCTAGGTTTTGTAATTAGACTGTTGGCTGGAAACTTTAATCGCTGTGCATCAGTGGCCCTTTAAGTCCTAAATAAAGCAAGTCTAAATTTCCTCAGGTTATCTCTGGTCTCCCCGGGGCTCCTTTTCAATTTAAATGGGCTTGTTTGTTACTATCAAAATTAGGGGTGTCCTCATAGTGCAGGCTCTTATTGTTCATAATTACTGAAGCAAGCAGGCATGTCAAATAGCAACACAGAGGGATTACTAGGGCACCTTATCAGTATGAACCTGTGACACAAAGTTAAAACTTTTATTTTCCCATAGAGTAACGTAATATATAGTACTTATTTTGTAAAGTATACAATCTATGGTAGGTGGCCTGTTTCGTGTCTGGAAGCAGTCCATAAATCAGATGAAACATCTTGTTGTTGACCATGACATGGATCGTGTACAGTAGTAAATACTAGGGCTTATTCCGAAGGTGCAGTCACAGTAGAAGGTGTTGGCCCTAGTAGAGGAAAAAGTACGAAATCATGACAACAATACCAGTTACCTCCCAATTTGTATGGAAAGCGATGAAGCGTGAACGGGTGTACAATGGAGGAGGTACTTGAATGTGCAGTGTAGCGAGGAAGACTCCCTAAAGATATGATAGCAGGTTGCTGCTTTGGTCTACGTCACCACTTCACACGCTGACAAAGGGGTGGCCTGTAATTCGGACTGGCCGGGCCAAGGCGGGCCAAATCTATTATTTGCTAATAAACCCATTAACGACAACCATGCCTACAATTAATCAATGCAACATACACTCATGATAATAATGATCAATCGGAAGCCACAAACGCGTACCATAATAACTTTATTACGAGTAAATCGGCTAAAATCCAGGAAGACGAGAGGCCTGTGAACTGGCTGACCGAGGTTACGTCTAAAAGTGGAATCGTTAAACGAAACGGGATTTAAAACGTATAAATATTTCAGCCAATTCCCATACACATTTCCGTTGGCCCGAAAATGTTTTTACATCTATATCCAATTACATACCACCCCATAAATTCACTATTCATCGTGTTAAAAGCAGATTTTATTTAGCAACGGCAAAGTGGGGTTGTTTAGTTTATGGATTCAAATGTATCAAATGTGTGTTTTTGATATCAAAGCATACGTAATAGACATCATATTCTTACATGATTAAATATCGAAGTAAAAACACAGAAAAAGGATCAAATTGGATCAGTCACTATACCATCCAAACATTTGAAAATCTGAAAAAAGCCTACACTGCCTGGGATACTTTATTACAATCAGACAAGAACTGTAGGGGATATTTTCAAATAACGGCATCTTATGGGCATCCACCCTTATTATCATAGGGGGTCATTCTCACTTACCCAGCACCTTTTCTTTTTTAGCATAACTATTAATCACCTAAGCTGCTGGGTGAACGAGAAGACACCTTCCTAATGTCCCACTGATTAGGTTGAAGAAATTCTGCCACAGTGGACAGCAGCCCAGTCCGTCACGGTCGAGGGAGCAGGGGCTGACCAATTTGCAGCTAGGTTTTGTAATTAGACTGTTGGCTGGAAACTTTAATCGCTGTGCATCAGTGGCCCTTTAAGTCCTAAATAAAGCAAGTCTAAATTTCCTCAGGTTATCTCTGGTCTCCCTGGGGCTCCTTTTCAATTTAAATGGGCTTGTTTGTTACTATCAAAATTAGGGGTGTCCTCATAGTGCAGGCTCTTATTGTTCATAATTACTGAAGCAAGCAGGCATGTCAAATAGCAACACAGAGGGATTACTAGGGCACCTTATCAGTATAAACCTGTGACACAAAGTTAAAACTTTTATTTTCCCATAGAGTAACGTAATATATAGTACTTATTTTGTAAAGTATACAATCTATGGTAGGTGGCCTGTTTCGTGTCTGGAAGCAGTCCATAAATCAGATGAAACATCTTGTTGTTGACCATGACATGGATCGTGTACAGTAGTAAATACTAGGGCTTATTCCGAAGGTGCAGTCACAGTAGAAGGTGTTGGCCCTAGTAGAGGAAAAAGTACGAAATCATGACAACAATACCAGTTACCTCCCAATTTGTATGGAAAGCGATGAAGCGTGAACGGGTGTACAATGGAGGGAGGTACTTGAATGTGCAGTGTAGCGAGGAAGACTCCCTAAAGATATGATAGCAGGTTGCTGCTTTGGTCTACGTCACCACTTCACACGCTGACAATGGGGGTGGCCTAAAATTCGGACCGGGCCGGGCCAAGGCGGGCCAAATCTATTATTTGCTAATAAACCCATTAACGACAACCATGCCTACAATTAATCAATGCAACATACACTCATGATAATAATGATCAATCGGAAGCCACAAACGCGTACCATAATAACTTTATTACGAGTAAATCGGCTAAAATCCAGGAAGACGAGAGGCCTGTGAACTGGCTGACCGAGGTTACGTCTAAAAGTGGAATCGTTAAACGAAACGGGATTTAAAACGTATAAATATTTCAGCCAATTCCCATACACATTTCCGTTGGCCCGAAAATGTTTTTACATCTATATCCAATTACATACCACCCCATAAATTCACTATTCATCGTGTTAAAAGCATGCCCACATTTAAATGATACGATCTCTCCCCCACACTCTCAACATTATCTCGGCCACAATTTTCCGCCCGGCTTGGCTCGAGCCGTCAAAAGCAACTTAAACGTAACACACGTATCTTGAATTGTGTTTAATTCCATAGACTGGTATTATATCTACCTAAATATCGCTTTGTAATGTTATAAAATGCAACATGTAAAGATAACTGCTCCGTTAGAGTGAAGCCCTTGTCTCTCATTTTTCAACATAGCCTCAATCAAAAGTGTTTAGTCTCTGTTTAGTCTCATTTCAAGATACATCTGTGAGGTATAAGGTGCGTTTGAGCCCCCGGGCCAAGCCGGACCGAACGCCTGTGATACAATGTCTTTATTGAGAATGTATAGAAAATAGGGCTTCACTTTGAGCAACGTTTTTGCTTCAAATACTACGCTTTGAGACTCTTTGAGGTAATATGTACGTAGATATAATACTAATCTATGGATATTAACACATTTCAAGTTACATGTGTGAGGTTTAGGTTGTTTTTGACAGCACGGACGAAGTCGGGCTGAACAGAGACTAAACACTTTTGATTGAGGCTATGTTGTGAATGGAGAGAGGAAAAGGGCTTCACTTTAACGGAGCAGTTTTCTTTACATGTGGCATTTTGTAACATCACACATTGATATTTAGGTAGATATAATACTAATCTATGGAATTAAACACAAATCAGGACATATGTGTGGGGTTTAAGTTGTTTTTGAGATCCCGGGCCAAGCCGGACCGAACGCTTGTGATACTGTGTCTTTGTTGAGAATATGTAGAAAAGAGAGCTTCACTTTCAGCAACGTTTTTGCTTCAAATACTACGCTTTGAGACTCTGTGAAGTGATATGTAGGTAGATATAATACTAATCTATAGATATTAACACATTTCAAGATACATGTGTGAGGTGTAGGTTGTTTTTGACAGCTCGGACGAAGTCGGGCCGAACAGCGACTAAACACTTTTGATTGCGGATTTTGTTTGCCGAGGACTTTATTTTCCTAAATCGTTGGGAATGGAGAGAGAGAAAGGGGCTTCACTTTTACTTTACTTTATGAAGTGGTATTTAGGTAGATATAATACCATTGTGTTTCATGTGTATTAGTAAAAATAAGCATATGCATACACGCCGGTATTGTTTACAATGAAAACACATAAGAATTTTTGTGTTTGTGATTTCAAATACTTCTTTTAATATACATAATCATGTCATATTTGCCCATTGACACTCGCCGATATCCACGTCTTTTTAACATAAACATCCTGTGCTGATTCAGCCTGAGACGATAAAGGTTAATTAGGGAACCCCAATATCTTAATTAAGGAAAGAAAAGCAGTCAAAACACTGTCACTTCCTGCCCAGGACCCCCGGATGTCACACGCTAAGAGAAGTAAGCAACCTTCCCCCATAGACAGTGGAGTCTACTAATGCCTACAGTGTTAAATAAACAACTTTACGCACCACTGCTGCTGATTGCACCTGCCTTCAACCTTTCAATAAAGTGGCATGGTCCTATTTCAAAGTGCACTAATGCCTACAGTATATAGAAAACAGTAACTTTCTATGTTGAGAGACATTTTATTTGGTCATTCATATACATATGTACATTCATATACATATCTTTCACATTGTTGTCATATTTTTCTTAATTTTCTTAAACTTTATTCATATCTTTCACATAGTAGTTTGTTTTGAGATAAATAAATTTACATAAATAAACATAATCATTTATTTGGATTAAAATGTAATTAAAACTTAATTTGATTCATGATTATATATACATATATACATCTTTCACACAGTCAACTACCACATTCATTAATAAAGTCATTGTGGTAACCAAAAGTAATTTACATGTATACACACAGTTTCACACATTCATCAACATAGTCATTTGGTTTTCAAGCTAGCTTGATCAAATATCCTGCAGCAGTCAGGAATTCCAGGGTGTCTTGATACCAGATGTCAGCTGGGCCTTCAGACGAGTGAGTCTCTGGTCAATTTCTGTGTACGTCCTCTTGCGGGGTGGGGGACGGGCGCCATGAGCCATCTGCACCAGCTTATTTCTCTCCGCTTTCTCCAGCTTCTGCAGAACCTTCACAAGAGCGAAAATGTTCGGGTGGGCTCTCTGGACGGTCTTGTTGAGATGCGAATGCCAACCCTCGAGATGATTGTTCGTCCTTGGGCCGCTGGTGTCGTGGTGATTCCATAGTCCGGCTCGGAACCGTGCATGGTCGTCTACCCAGGTGCTGGTGATGTAGTCCTGGAACTCATCCTTCTGTCCAATGGCAGGGGCGTCGTCCATGACCTCTATCCAGGCATTT